ATTATAACCTAAAAAAACTGCAGCGTATTTTATATGAGTTTAAATTTCTGAAAAGATATCTTTCACTTAGCTGTTTAACAACTTTGTATTATGCCTTAGTCGAAAGTCATCTTAGATATGGTATTCTAGCTTGGGGAAGCGCACTAAGGTGCCATATATATCCAAACGCTTGAGATTATACAAAAAAGGTTTTTAAAACTTATGTTGTCGAAAGAATATCGATACTCAAGTGACGAAAGTCACATCATGGATCTTAGGTAACTATACTTCTACTGTATGGCTCAAAAATATCACTTTAATACTAAACATGCTAACTTACCTTCTCACTGTTATCAAACCTGCAATAGAATCTCCATATCGTGCCACAAGTAAGTAAATCACTTAGTCAACGATCTTATACCTATCTTGCTCCTAAGATACATAATGAATTACCAAAATCAATAAAAACAACAAATGTAAAATTAAAATGAAAAAACCCTTAAAAAATTTATTTTAGAAAATCCACGAGAAAAATTTAAAGATATAATAGAATGTAGAAATACTTAACTTGTGTCCGTTTCTAGTCTCAGCTTCAGTTTTTTGAATTAGTAAGGCTATAAGCTTTCTTGTTTTTTTTTAACAATCAATAATATAGATTTTGGTTGTCGCGTTTTCCCTGTAATTCACTTCAATCTTCTAATTATAAAAATAATGGATCAGTTAAATTTCTTTTATATATTTATTCTATGTATGTAGTAGTATCCCAGTATATATACCAATCAGTATTGGCACTCTGAGGCGGCACGTTTGATCTTTAAAAGTAGAAATTTTAGTTGACACTTGACGTTTTCGGGATATGAAAAGTTTTCTTTACACGGACTTGGTATACATGGTTAGTTGAATTTTTGTTCTGCTGCTTTTCAAATTCGTGTGTATGAGGGAGATGTGAGATACCTTAATAGACAACGGTTGAACAACTTAATTACTTTGGAGAAGAAAATAGATTAGATATCATGGCAGTCTTCGCAAATGTAAGAAGGACAGAACCGTTTTAAATTTTTTTATATACCTATGTGAAATACTTTTTGGTGAAAAGTTTAATTACTTTTAGTTCAAAATATAACGTTAGTTTGTCAAGGGAAATATATAACACACAAGGTTAGAGTAACAAAATAGAGGTATTGCTTTATTTCTTAAGAATTACTCTAATCTAAAACTTTTCTAGTATATTGTAAAAATTTATTATATACGTTATTTAGGTACTGCAAAATCTATAGGAAAGTATGTAGTTTTAAATTTAAAAATTTGTAACGGATACATATTTAGTGTAGTTTTTTATAAATATATACTCAGTGACTTGTTTTTGTGAATGAGTTCAAGTATGGCAGACTAAAATCGTTATTTTTTATTATGAATTCATTTGAATTTATTTTAAAATGGGAACTATATGTTTATGGTTTTCGTAGTTTTTACACTTGTGATAAAAACATCAAAGTTATGTATATTGGCCATTAACTAACAATACATATTACTATTTGACATTCTTGTAAAACCACTAATTTAAAATTGACTTTAAACTAAGTGACTACACACAGAATTGTTTGAAAGCAGCCATAAGGTATAATTTATGTATTGGATACTATAAAAAAATTAATAGTAGTTACATGTAGAGTTAAGTAACAAGAAATTTAAGACCAAAAACAAAACAAACCTTTATATCTAGTGAACTTAATTTAGTACAGTCCTCAACTTTCTTAGGCTAACATTAAAGATATCTATATGGATCTCGCTAAGAAACTCATTGGTAACAGCCATCATCTTGTTAAAAAGAGATATACTACTTGGATCTAAATCAAATAATTTATTGTTACTTGGGTTTCTTAGATTAATCTTTGCCACATTAACATTTATATAGTCAATCAATTCACAATCTTTGTACTTAAAATAGAGTACAAAATATATCACAGCCTGTTGCTTTCTTCTTTGTAAAAGAGATTTAATCTTAAAACTATTGAGCATAGTTTTATACGAGATCTTAGGTATAAGGGTGTACAAGTATTTTTTTATGACATAAAGGTACCGTAAAAATATGTTTTGTACTTTTTCAATATGATCAATTTGTGTGGCTTCCAAGGGCATCCATATTTGTGAAACATACTCAAGATGGAGTCTTACTAAGGCATTATATAATCTGATTTTGGTGGTAATCCTAAATTTTTTTGTATTTCTGATTTAAAAACCTAATGCTTTTATTGCTTTTTTAGTTATGTGTAAAAATGGTTATTGAACTTCAAATTAGACTGAAAGACAACTCCCAAATCCTTTACCTCATATTTAATGTGACATCACAGGTCTTATTTCTAATGTAAAACATTAAGAGGCTATGGATCCTTACAACTTAAAATATGCATACGTTTGTAAGTGTTAAATAGATGGATAAAAAGTGTTGATTTTTATTTACAACTATAATAAGAATCCATTAAAAAGATTAAGAGCAATAGAACATTTCAACAAATTTCTATAGGTACACATATTTTTGATACCTGATAATCAATAAATAATATATTTTTGGAGTAGCAACAGGTTTATTAATACACAACCATTATTTTGTTACAAATACTTATAATATTTATAATTAACATAATAGTTGATATAAGTCCTTTAAAAATAATATATTTTGATTTAATTGTTGAATTTATACATGAGCAAAATCATGTACATGTAAATGGGTTGAATGTAGACAATGTTAATGTTTTTGCTACTACTGCTGGCTATAAATGCTGGGCTGGGACACCAACAGAAAAAAAAGAAGCACAAAGCACTAGATGTTTTTATCACTTACACACGTACAATTTACAACCATTCAAGTAACTAGCATGTTGGAAATACTTCACGAAAACATATTAAACATAAATCAGTCGAAGGCAATCTATTTTCTTTTTATAACACACCTTTTTAGCTTGATTACTTTTAGTACTCTATTTATTCCAATGTCCTCAAATAAAACGAGCAATAATAAGGATAAAACACACACTGAAGTGTATTTGGGGTATTTTTGATCTAAATCCACTATCAAAATAACAAATTTTCCGTTTTTAAGCTGTGAATGTATTACAAAAACTACTTCGATAAAATGTAAACAAAAGTTTATATTTGTGTACGAAATATGGGTTGCCTGCGCATGGTAGCGAGTTTTTAACCGGATTTATGACAAGTGATAGGTTATATCCCGAAAACGTCAGCGCAGTAAAAGCTGCGCGTCTTTTTCCCGCCCAGTGAGTGTCATGGGCCTGGTAGTATAGTTTTAGTTACTGTAATTTTAGTTATTTGTATATTTTAATCTGTACAACAATAATGTTTTTAAATAATTATTTATTGTAAATTTATTTTTTTTTCTTGTATTATAATCGAAACAAGTGAGTACTCACTTATCAAGTATACCTTTATTCATTCAATTACTTTTAATTTTAAGCTACCATTTGTATTTTTTATAACTATATTTTTGGTTGAATAAACTACTATTATATATTATGATACTATGTCACAGAAAAATTGTTATTAAAACATAGAAATTGTTACAAAAACAAATTCATTTATATTAAAAAAAAGTTTTAATGGTTAGTTTATTAGTAAACAATATAATATTGTGACAATAATTGGTATTAACTGCGATGGTTTTTAATACTGAACGGTGTAAGGGCCTGATTTACAAAAAATACAAGCTAAGGTCCTTTTTTTAGAAATGTCACCAAAAAAATGATCTGATTTTGGCGAGGACCTTTTTTTTTAAAAAATGCTTAGTTTTTCAACCTGATCCCCTGTCGTCACCGTTATCCCGCTATTCCCTTTCGTAAATCTGCCAACCCTAGTGTTGTAACTCCTTAGAATAAATTGTAAAGGAGATTGAGAGACCATTAAAAATAAAAAATATATTTGATAGCTTTTTAACATTGACATTCGACCACTATTATTTTATAACTATATTCGCACAGTACCATGCAACACTTAACAATAACTAGGGATACTACACCTAGTTATAATATATAAGGGGTCCTTGTCAGTGTTTTGCCTCGGCGCCCCTGAGTATATATTTTCTCTATATACACTAGTCAGTAACTTCCAATAATATTTTAGAGATGCGTGTTAGTGTCTATTTTAAAGTAATTTGGATTTTTAACTTGTCTGTGTGTCAAAATCTAGTCATACAATAGGATTGAGCCCATTAAAGATTTTAAATCAAGAAAACAAGTACTATATTACTATTAAATAAATCAAATTATAATATAGATACTAAAAAAAACAAAATAAACATGCTTATATAAACAAATATACCCAACCCCTTCCTACAAGCACGCACAATTGAGTACTGACAAAAATGCAAATAATTTGACAGGACTTGTTTGCATAAGAAAAATGCGGCGTCTTTTATACCTTTAGGGTGTGATTATAGAAAATATACCACGCCTGCACTTTGCAGATCTGCAAATATGGCGAACTTACATTGCAAGATACAAGCAAGGATACTATAGAGGGTCAAGTATCCTTGCCTTGCATCTGTAAGTCCGCATATTTACAGATCTGCAAAGTTGCAGACGTGGTGCATTTTCGGTAATCACGCCTTTAACCCCCTTTGGAAAATATTTCGACGACGCCAATGATACCAAATCTATCTAATAGCACTGCAAAGTCCTTTAGAGCTCTCATCAATTAAATAAATCTAAATTACTACAAACATGGATATATTTTACGATCCTCTATTATTGGTAAAACTTATATAAGTAAAGCCCATCAAAGTCCCAAGATTCTCAAAAGTACCATACAAGTACCGCCAACTGAGTACCTAGCCGGGTACCAGAAGCCGGTACCCCCACCGCCCAGTCCTTGCGCCAATGCCAAGAAATATAGAATAGGTAACCTTTACAGGTTCACAACCATGGTACAGGAGGCGAGGGGCAAGGAGAAACCCAACACAACGGTTCACATCGCTGGTTATACCAGCGGTCATCAGTCTTCACAAGGACCTCGAACAGTTTGAAGTGTTTGACACGTACTGTACCTACAATTTTTTTTTTTTTAACATTTGATACATTCTTTCCATCCTTTTTGCCAAATAAACAATGTTCGTTGATCCTTATCAAGGACTAAAAGGATTCTTATTAGTGTTGTGATGTGAACTAGTGAACTGTTTTCGGTGGTGTTGTGACCATTTCTTGGATAACTCTGTTATAAAGTGACTCGAGGCGAAAATGCCGAAAATATTTTTGATTAAAAACAGGTTGCACCAGCAACAGTTGCGGCTTGAATCGCAGAATGCTGGTAACGTGAAAAACGATCTTTTAATTGGAGATAATCAGCCGCTATCGTTGATTGTACACAAGAAAGATGGTAAGGATAAATCTCATGTTATACAGGATAACGCAGGAAACTTTTCAATTAATTTGTTTAGCGCGACAGGTGTTATTGTTAAAATTATTATCAATTTTTTAAGAAATTTAGATATTAATTTGAAATAATAAATTGTTAACAATGATGCGTTTAAAAACTTTTTTATATTATATTTTTATTGGTACTAATTTCATTTATTTGTCATTTATTTTGTTAATTCTAATTTAACAATAATACGGTGTTTAGATATCTAGGAAAGATGAAATTAGGTAAATTCTAGAAATATGCGATCATCAGAACTTATTAATACATTTAAATATAAATAATTAAAAAATTTAGTTTTGAAAGTTTTTGGAATGTTCTGACAAATTTATTAAAATTATATAAAAACAATTAAGTAAATGAAATTGAAATCACTTTTGAAGAATAAAAACTCTAATTCGAATTTCTATTTAAAAGGAAAATAAAAAAAAGGAAAAACTAATTATGTTTTAGAGTAAGTAGATAATATTAATAATTTGTTATGAAATATTGGTTAAGTTAAAGAAGAAATAAATGTTTCATATTGGTATGTATGTTATGCACTGACTTATTTTGAAACATGGGTAATTTTGACTTTGTTAATTCATTATTCATTAGTTTATATTATAAAGCAAATTAGTTGAATATTAAATTTGGTGATACACCTGTATTAATTATTGTTATAAAGATCTGATGAAAACTAGATAAAAACAGAAACGCAGACATGAATGAAACGCAAATTTTTATAATTATATAATTGTCAGTTATTTTTACTGTTTTAAAATATTAGAAAACCATAATTTTTTTACAAAAACAAATATTAAAACTGTTTCCTGCGTTATATAATTTTTAAATACCTATATATTTTTTTATTATTATTTGTTTAGCATGATAGGGGTCATCCAATATACAATATCTCTGTTTTTTGAAAATGTAAAATACAAAAGTTTTACAGTTTGCAGAGGCGCCTATTGTAAAAATATTTTACAATATACAGGATGGTCCCAAAAAGCAAAACAACATAAAAGTTACTTTTTTTTCAAATGGAACACTCTTTATTTTATTTTTATGTTTGTGCCTATCTTAATTTTTTATACCCTATCCAGATATGAGAACTTTTGTATAATTTAAATATAAAAATCTAACTTCCTGTTAAACCGGAAGTAGATTATTTTATTGCATATTTGTAAAGTATAAAAAACTAAGACAGAGATGCAAACCGTTTTACCTTAACTTCAACAGCTTGTCAAAACTTGAAAACAATTGAATTTAGACATATATGTTGTTTTAGACAAAAATACTTATATTTTTTACTACAATTCAAAAAATAAATAAAATAATTTTAAAAAATCTGATATGTCCAACACATGACTTTCCTATCTAGTTATTACATGTTATTTTGTACAACCTATTGCAACACCTCTATAAATGTTTAGAGGATAAACTAAATATATACATTTTCCACATACATCTACCTCGAAACATTTTTCATAGATATTCATTGAAAACGAAAATACTGAAAAATTTAAATTTAGCACTTTTCCTACAATTTTTCCATTACGGTCCATTTTAGAAAAATCATGTATAAACAAAAATTATAGAGATCGATATCGCAAACAACTTTTATTTCAACAGTTTTCATAAAAATCAGAATTTTGCACATTTTGTCAAATTTCTCGAATACGGACCATTTCAGGAAATTTTTACATAAAGCAAAAATTATAGATAATAATATTAGAAGTAACTTTTATTTGAACAATTTTTTTCTCCAAACATAAATAACAGATATATTTCATAAAATATAAAAACGGCCTCCCATAAAGCACCCCCCAGATGTTCCGACTTTGTCCAAAATCTAATCATTTCACGTCGGGCCGAAATAAAACTTTAGTTTAAAATTTAATGTTTTTTCCTTTATCCGTTTTTGAGTTTTCTTCAAAATTCGAAATTTACACATTTTCTCAAATATCTCGAATACAGTCCATTTTAGAGAAATTATGTATAGGATAAAAATTATAGAGAATTATATTACAACAAACAACTTTTATTTAAACAATTTTTATAAAAAATTATTTTCTTTACATTTTGTCAAATTTCTCGAATACGAACCATTTTAGGAAAATTTTATATAGAACATAATATTGATGCTATGCTTCACTAGTTCTAATTTTTTTTGTGGAAATATCTTTTTTTAAGAATAATTACCATTTTTTAAGAATACTTACCATTTTTTTAAAATACTAACTTTTATTTGAAGAATTTTCTTCTCCAAACGTAAATAACATTCCATAAAATATAAAAATGACCACCAATAAAGTACCCCCCCAGATGTTACGACTCTGCCCATAATCTAATTAGTTCATTGGACGCTGGAATAAAGCTCAAGTTTAAAATTTGATGTTTTTCTGTGTATCGGTTCATGAGTTATGGTGGATACAGACACACACACAGACATCATCGCGAAAATAGTCAAAACGGATTCAGGGACCCCAAAACGGAAAAATTCGTCGAAAACTCGAGTTCGAAAAAAATCATGATTCCTATACTTTCTTTATCTGTATACAGATAGGAAAGTAAAAATGTATATCGCCTTGTTTTTTGGGAGCACCCTGTATATTGAAAAATATTTTTACAACAGGCACCTCTATGAACTGTAAAACGATTGTATTTGATATTTTCTTGTATTTTCAAAAACAACCGAGATATTGGACTTTCACACTTTAATGACACATGTCAAAAATTGTTAGTACTTAATAAAGTTAATTCAAGAAAAAACTGGAAGCAAAACTTTTAAAATTGAATTTTATTAGATATAGTGAAAAAAGTCAAATTCTGCCAGCAGAAAAAATTAAAGGAGGAACAATAAATAAAAAGTATTTTTTTTATTGTCACTATCATAACGAATTAACCAAATTAAATCCAAATTTTTCACTTTTGTATCTAAATGCTTCAAAAACATATTTTCCTTATTAATTTTTCAAATTGAAATTCAAATTCTAGCAATTTTTTTTATTGATACTTAAGTATAAAGTTTTTATTTGTCAAAAGTGGTTCCAAATTTATTTTGATAGTTTTTACATAATTTGAATGATTTTTGTCAAAATCACCCTATAATATGAACAAAATTTTTTAATTTATGTTTATAAATATTATTCAACATTTATAAAATATTTAAAAACCGTCAACACCCCTAAAAACCTTAAAATATATTTATATTTTTTTATATTTCTCCAACTTTGTTATTTTAGAACTTTTAATTGTCAAAGTTGATTCAAATTTCATTAAATGTATTGAGAAAGTTTATAAATAATTTTTATCAGGACCATCCAACATTTATTTAAACAAAATATTCGTCACTTTTTACAATTTATATTCAACTAAATTAATTATTTTTATACAGATCCGATGATGGATATATAATAATCGAAACACAAACATAAGTAACCCAAATATTTATTATCGCATATTTCTATAATTTCCCTTATTTTAAAGTCATAAAATATAATAAAAACCATACAATTTTTTGATATTTTACAAAAACAAAAATTTAAAACTGTTTCTTGCGTTATCTAACTTTTAAATAAATATTTTATTATTATTAATTAACAGTCTATTTAAGTTTCTATAAACCGGTAAATATGAAATGAACTTTAATCAGCGTTTGTTTATAAAAAAAGTGTTAACAATTTTTATATTGACGTATATTTCACATAAATATGAAAATTTACATCTAAACAGAAATCATTATTTTTTAATGATTCATTATATTTCAGTTTATAATAAAAAATGATTTTACATATTTTTGGCATCAATAAATAATATAAAACAAAATCAGTTTTTAAAACATGATATATTATGATTTGATGCAATATATTGAAAGACTTTTATGAAAGCAATAAATATAATGTTATAATTGAATTAAATTTTCTATTCTAAAGAAATATCATTTATATTGACTCAAGTTTTCAGAAAAATACACCTACTTTATACTGCTTGTTCTGTTCAATTGATTTAATGAATACTAGGAAAAATATAATTTCTATAAAACATACATAATTTATAATGCATAACTGAATTAGTCATTTATTCTTTATCCCAAACAAATTGTTTTATATTAAACTAAATGATTTTATTAAGAACCAATTTTGTTTGAATTGGTAACATTAAAATTAAAACAATTTTCGATTCATACAAACACATTTTTGTCTTTTAATAAGTACTTGGTAATTATTAATAATAAATTGGACTATAATTACGAAAAATGTAATTAATGTGCTAATAAATTCCAAATATTATATACAGTAATATTTATAATAAATTAAAAATGACTTCTCATTAGCATTAAAAATTGTCAGATAGTTTCAACTTGATACTAATTTTTTTCTTCTAGTATTTTGCAAAAAAAAAACACCCTATCGTTTTAAGACAAAGTCTGGTCAGATTTTTAAAGAACGTCCTGTATATGTCAAATGAGGATATATTTTGTCGGCGTAAGCCGTAAAATATTGATGTTGACGATTAAATTTTTATTATTTATAGATTTTTAAAGTTATTACTTAATAATTTTTATATATAATATTATAAATACATCCAAGTTTTCGTCTTTTTTCCACAAACTTTTATTTTTATGTTTATTAATAATTAATTCCTTACATAAAAGTGATGCTATTCGTCACTAGTTCTAATTTTTTATGTGGAAATATCTTTTTTTTAAATATACACCAACTTTTTAAGAGTACTTATTAATAACATTAAACTGTATATACAATGAAAACTTACCATTTTTTCAATAATACTTACCATTTTTTACTATTTTTCTTTTTTAAAAAATATTTACCATTATTTAAATAATCCATTCTGTATGGATAACATCAATCTATAAATACAAAGAATACTTACCATTTTTTTTAACAATACTTACCATTTTTTTAACAATACTTACCATTATTTAAAAATATTTATTATTTTTTCTTTTTTGA